GAAGGAGAAGTAATGAGCAACGGGGTCAAGACCATGCTAGTGAAACCCACAGAAACAGCTGACCTGAACAAGAGGGAGCTCTTGGCCCATAGACTGATCACTGGGAAACCAGCATGGAATTGATACAGACCCCATAAATGTGGGTGTCACTGAGGAGACCTCAGAAATCTATGGGGCATCTTGTAGTAAATCAGTACTAATTCCTACCATAGGAATGGACTTTGGGAGCCCATTTCACATAGAGGGATACTCCCTCAGCCTAGACACACAGGGGAGGGCCTAGGCCCTATCCCAAAGGATATGACAGACTCTGAAGAACCTACACTGGAAGGCCTCACTCTCCCTGGGGAGCAGAAATGGTATTGGATAGGTAAGGTGTTAGTGGGGGGGAGGGGAGGGGGAGAGGGAGAGGGAAAGGAGATTGACATGTAAAACAACCTTGTTTCTAATTTAAATTTTAAATTTTTTAAAAGAACAGAAAAAAAGAAAGACTATGTATCAGCAAACAAACAAACAAAAAATAATGATAATTCCCTCAGAGGCACATAATAGACAAGGCCTGAAGAGATTGCCTGACCAACTGACAGTAGACAATGGGGCAGAGGGGGGTAGATTTTCCTCTTGGATGTGATATTTAAGCTTCACTTAAAATAAAAGTTTAAGTTTAGTGGATTGAAGAGTGGCAAAGAGAACTCCAGGCATAAAGAAATGTAAGTCCAGTCTCAGTAAGACGGACAGCCTGTTTGGGAAAATGTAATTTAGTAAGTGCTTCCTTAATTGACGTCCATTATGTAGTACACAGCAAGTCTTTCTGAGGAGGCAGGTTAATGCAAAGGCCGAGGAAACTGCATATGGCTCATATATGACTCTCCTGTTCACCAACAGCCATTATTGAAATTCTCATTTATTAAGAGTCAGTAGTCTCTTTCTACACCTCTTGACATGTTTGTATAACTACAGAATCGAATTAAATGCTGCATGATTCAGAACTGCTCAGCTTCAGCTCTGTTGGCATTTGAGTGTGGTAATTCTGTATTTCAAGAAGTTGCCCTCAGCTTTGTAGGATGGTTAGCAGATCCTCTATCTCTCCTACCAGAAAATAGGAGGACCCTTAAGTTATGACAAGTTAAAGTAGCTCCAAATGTTGCACTGTTGAATGTTCCTCAGCTGGTGCAAACTTTCCGCTGGTAGAATAAGGGCCACAGTATGAAGGGTTTTATATGTGAAATTTATTCTCTAAACACAAAGTCATGGAACCAGTGAATGTTTTTAGTAGTAGAGTAATGTAAGTGGTGATAAATTTCTTTGGATGAGTTAGAAGAGACAAGACAGAGAGATCCAAGTAACCCCAATACTGATTAATACAATGGAAGTAATGGCCATGCAAGCCCAACACAGAGTTTGGTGGCCTGAAACAGTTAGACATCATTCATTGTATGCTGGATTCCCTTTCTCCTTTTTCTTCCTCTCTGAATTCACTTGGTAAACCTATACAACCTCTAGGTTTGGATCCCATCTCATATTGTCAAGCCAAGCTATGGCAGATAATACACCTCCTCTAAACTTTGAAGTTCTGTGGAGAGAAAAGAGCAAATGTCTGTTCTCTTTGCATGGGGCATAAAAGAAATGATCCCATGATCCCACTCAAGTCTGTCTTGGTGGATAATGAGATTACTGGGGTTTCTTACAGAAACACGGGTGAGGGATTATGGAGTGGAGGATGAGTGATGCCTCTCCGCCACAAGCTGCATAATTGAAAAACTTACCCCATGAGTGATAACTCGTAAAAATGGCATCCTGGTGTTCTCATGCAACTTGAAGACAGCTCTGCTGAAGAATCCCCTTTCCCAGGCAACTGTTTTCTGATTGGGTAACCTTGAGGAGGAGCCTTGTGAGTCTTGTAAGTGTTGTGAACCTCCTGAGCTTTGTGAGGCATCTCCCACGCCTCCAGGAAGGAATAATTCAATTCATAGCCCATTATTTGAGCTTCTTTTGGGGTACTGTGTGGTGTTATAAATTTAATGCCTATTTTATTACTAGGCTTGATTGTAAACTGTAAAAATCTTAGATACAGGGCCGCATGGTCTTTGTATTTGCTTTAACTTAGTTAATGTGCTTTCCAAATGGTGGGTGTTGAAATTTATTTTTAAGAAAATTACAGAACTCTATCCTAAATTACATCAATATATTTATTTAAAAGTGTTCTTTGAGGATTACCAGCCTACAATCCACACCACCAGAGAAGCTAGGAAGCAAGGAGGACCCTAAGAGAGACATACATGATCCCCCAGAGAAGGGGAAAGGGACAGCATCTCCTGAGCAAATTGGGAGCATGGGGGCAGAGGAGCAGGAATTAAGAGAAAGAGAGGGGGAGAAGAGGAGGGGAGAGGAAGACATAAGGGAGCAGGAAGATTGAGTAGGGGCGGGGGTGATACAGAACAGAAAGAAAAGAGATACCATAACAGAGGGAGCCATTGTAGATTTAAAGAGAATTCTGGCACTAGGGAAATGTCCAGAGATCATCAAGGATGAGCCCAACTAAGAATCTAAGCAATAATGGAAATGCTACCTTAAATGCCCTTCCTCAATAATGAGATTGATGACTACCTTATATGCCATCCTAGAGCCTTCATCAAGTAGCTGACGGAAGTAGAAGCAGACATCCACAGCTAAACACTGAGCTGAACTCCTGAAATCCAGTTGTTGAGAGGGAGGAATAAGGAGCAAAGGGGTCAAGACCAGACTAGAGAAGCCTACAGAAACAGCTAATCTGAACAAGGGGGAGCTCGTGGACCCCAGACTGATAGCTGGGAAACCAGTATAGGACCGATGCAGACCCCGCCCCCCCAAACGTGGGTGTCAGTTAGGAAGACTGGGCAATCTATGGGGCCTCTGGTAGTGGATCAGTATTTATCCCTAGTGTACAAATAGACTTTGGGAGCCCATTCCACATAGAGGGAGATTCTCTCAGCCTAGACACATGGGGGAGGGCCTAGGTCCTGCTCCAAATGATGTGACAGACTTTGAAGATTCCCCTTACCTTACCAGGAAGGCCTTACCCTCCCTGGGGGAGCAGAAATAGGAATGAGATAGGGGGCTGGTGGAGAGCAGGGGAAGAAGGGAGGGAAAGGGAATTGGGATTGGCATGTAAAACAAGATTGTTTCTAATTTAAATTTTAAAAATTTTATAAAAATATATAAAATAAAATATGAAAGAGATTTGTTTTTAAAAAGTGCCCTTTGAGTTCCCTTAGCAGAACACATTGGGGGTCAAGGACAGTATGCACTTGATTTAACTAATAGAGCACTCATTATTAGTCTGTTTCTCACAGTTCCTCCTATCACTGGAGGAAGTTCATGATCTGTAAGAGTAATAATAATAATAATCTGTAAGAGTAATAATAATAGAAATTTTCTTATAAACCACTCCTTGCAGAAACTCAGCAACCTGCACCCCTGTGTTACTCAAAAAAGTCAGTTCATCAAGCTGTTGAACAATGACATTGAATTATATTGAGCAAGATATGAATGAGCGTTAAGTAAAATCAATCCATTTTAACTATTTTTGAATAATTTTATTCTCATACATATAAAAACTACCTTTACTCTATTTTCTCAACCATATCTTTATTGAGACATTTGCAGCTGTTTTGCTAGTTTCTATCAGCAAGTGCTAGAGAATATTGATTATTAAACAAAGCTTTAATTATATTTTAGTAAATACTAAAGATACATATTTTGTAATAGACATTGGGATAAGTCCACCAAACTAAACTGAAATTTACCCAAGTGTACATCAATCACAGTTGTCTTTCTGTATCAGTCAAAAAATGCTTGTATTCTTAATTTGTTTTTGTTGAGTCTATGCAATAGGTTTTACACACTATTAACAAAGTAAGTAATACAAAGGGCAGCTGAGCCACAAATCTTCACTAATTAGTACCTTAAAGGAAAGAGAAAGGCAACAGATATAACTCCCAGCTGTGTCAGCATTGGGTGAGGGATTGGTGGCTTTCCTGGGTCCATCAGCCTCAAGATCATTTCTCTACAGTCTCGACCTGTGAGCCATACTGAGGTATTGCATGCATTATCTTCATTTCATACCAGAAAGGTCAGACATCATAGCAATGTGGCATTCATAAATTTAGCATCACTTTTTCACTCCCTCAGTAGATTTCCCTGGTATAGTAGTGGGTTACAATGATGGTATTGTTGAAGAAAATAGTCACAGCAATATTACAAGAATCATAAAAATTATAAGAAGATTAGATACACTCATTTTAAAAGTCAATAGACTTTTCCATGTTTTTCCACAATATCCATTAGTGTTGTTCAAGCTTCCGACTTTCACCTTCTCTGAGGTTTCTATTGAGTTCCTGTTCCTTTACTTCCCGCTCATTACCCTTTTCTCAAAGTTAAGAAAAAAATAGGGGGAGGGTGGTTTCTTGTACTTTTATCATTTCCGTATTGTGCATGATATGGTTGCTTTTTCTGTATTCTTCTCACTCTTCCATACCCTGCTTAGGAGCTCTTACTCACATCCATGATGTGTTTTCTTAAACACATACAGATGCCTTAGGGAAATGAAACTCTGGGAGCAGCTGTTGAGTTTTTATTGGTTTTTATTTAGCTGCACTTCAGTACATGGTACAAAATATCAAGGTAGCAGTTTTTAATTGAGAAATGAAAGTACTGAAAGATAAAGATACATAAATTCAGTCTGTAAGGCTGTTATCACCTCAAAACAGTGAATCAAAAGGGCTCAAAAAGGGTGTATCTGCTTAATGAGAAAAGCAAAGAGAAGTCACTTGTAATAATAACTCTGCCAGCTGCTCAAGCCCAGCCACCCAAGCCCCGCAGCCATGCTAGGGCCCCCAAACAACACACAGAGTCTTATGTTAGTTACAATCCTGCTGGCCAATGACCAGGATTTCTCATTTGCTAGCTCTGTCCTAAGTATCAACCATAACAAATAATCTATATATTATATAAAGACTTACCTTATCGAGGACACCAGCAGCATGTGTCCTCTTTTCCCAGGCCCACATGGCGACTCTGCTCTTTACTACATTTCCCAGAATCCTCCTTCTCTACTAGTCCCGCCTAACTTGCTTCCCTATTGGCCAACAGTGCTTTATTTATCAACGAATAAAATAAACATATACACAGAAGGACTTCCCCCATCAGTCACTAAACAGAATATGGCTTCACTAGAGACACACAAAACACAGACACACAACACACACACACACACACACACACACACACACACACACACACACACACACACACACACACGGAGGGAGGATTAACATGTTAATATGTTGTGACTGATCATTTTGCTTACATCAAAAATCATGTTGTATACCATAAAGACATGAAACTTTTAAAAGCAATTATCTGAAACATTTTAAAGGGCACATGGTATTAAAGATTTAAAAATAAACTTAAGCAAAAACTTTGCATATGAACTTGGTAGGATTGTGTTTCTCAATATTTTCTTGGCAATATTAGTTTTAATGATAAAATAATGAAATAAATAATGGTATTTGGTATTAATAGTTTTTTGTTAGTTTCTAAAATAGTAGAGGAAAATTTGTAGTGGATTTCCTTGAGTATGAGATGTGTGTCTGCCTGTAACTGTTGACATTTCTGAGACTAAAATTATCTTAACCTTTCACATGTATATCTTTTGTCAAAAAGATGTTATTAAATAGTGTTTAAACTCATAGAAATATGGTCATTCCCTGGGCTTGAGGAGTTTACATTCAGTTTTAAGAATGCATCACGAGGGCAATAAGAAAACAACAGCAACAAAAGTACTGTTTTAGGTAAATTATCTGACAGTGGCAGCCTAAGGTGTACATGTTAGGAGAAAGTAGCCACAGGGATGGATCAGAAGTGATGAAGCTATTGAAAAGCAAGACACAAAATTTTAAAGGTAAGTAGAATATAACCAAGGACCAAAGACTTTAGATAGGAATACCTGTCAGAAAGCTATATCATCAGTCAGCAATAACCAGTGAATAGTTTCATCTGTAAATTATTTTAAGTGAGTGTCTAATTTAGTGGGTGAGAGCAAGTCAGACAAGCTCTACAGTGTGTGAGTCCTAACATGAAGGCCTTCTGAAAGCTTTTTCTGAACAGTGTGTTACTTATTTTTGTGGTAGCATTAACCAATATATGCACAGTCAAGAGGGGTTTGTTTAGAGGGTTCAGCTCATCATTTGGGAACTATAGTAGAGCAGAGCAAGTCTCGCCAACATGGGTGAGATAACAGAATGGCCCCTCTTCCCTTTTCCCCAAGGTTGATAACTAAGAGAAATGACCTGATAGGTAGTCGAAATGTATTTTTTAAACAAAAACTAGTAAATAAAAATATAAAGATCATGGTCGCTCTTGAAGTTCCTTTTCACATTGCATCATGCTGAACATATGAATTAATTGTTGCTTTCCTTTCCTTATTTCCTTTAGCACTCAAAACAGCTCAGTTTGAGAAAATGTCCTTTTTCCCTAAGTAAGGGAAAAAAACATATAAAACTATCAGTTAGAAAGACTACAGTACAAACCTAGAAGTAATTTGCTGAACATTTCTGATTGTCTGGCCCTGGGATTAGTGTTTTTGGTAGAATGATGAAAGAAGTGTATGCCAAAAACACCCATGGGGACTTAGAAATAAGTGGACATTTTACGGGAGGATTTTATAAGCCCAAACAAATAGGTCAACCATGGGCCATTTATAACCATAAACTCAGGCAGGTCCAGTGGCTTGGCAACAACAAGCAGTCAGAGAGTGGCTTCTCTACACATGTATTAGGGTGGATAAAAACCAGCACAATCTGTGTAGCCAATATGAGTAGTTTGTTCATACATCATCTCAGGGAGAATAGAGCTTAGTGGATGAGACTAAGTGACTCAAGCTTAATGATCCATAACATGAAAGGCTTTCTCAAAGAAGAGAAAATATTCCTTCTTCTTTTGGCTCCATTTCCTAATAGGATTGTTATTGTCTGCCTTTGTCCTGCCCCCCGACTGCACACACACTTAGATATGTTGATATCCAAATCCCACTACTCCTTAATTTTCTATTAGAATTACTATATCTATTGGTTTAATCTTCTTAGAAATTATCTGAGTACCAAGAAATCATTTTGGAAACCAAGCAGCATGATTTTAGTAAGATATAATTGAATGCATCCTTTTTAGGGGTTCTCAGACAATGAGGCTACCTAGCACTATATAGTATCATCTATCTAAGCTCCATACTTTAAGCTCATAGAGAGAAAAGATCCTACAAGTTACTGTTTCTATCTGGGGGGAGCCTGCCTAACATGATGGAGTCCATCTGAAGAGTATCTACATGTTTCTGCAATATAACCTCTGGCTTGGAAGGGCCTCAGATATCAACTACAGGAGGTTATTATGTTCCCTACAGTTTCAACAACTGTGTCTTTTCCAAGTCTAACCCAGAGCTTTTCTGATTTCTAAACTTTGGAGTCAAAAAGGCATTATAAAGAATATAAGACTTGGTAATATAATAAACACTTGGCAATATTTAACAAAAAAATTTTGTAGGCATTTTGACTACAAATGGTTTGTGTACAATTTAAGCATTAAATCACAAGAGCTGTACCACCCCAGAGGCCATGCCAATCTGAGTGGTCTGCACTGTCACCTGGGGTCATGTTGTCATCTGGGCCAGGGCTGATGCCAAGGGCCATGTCTGGGTCTTTGGTCCTACCACAGCTTGGGGCTGTGTTGATGTAGTGTCTCTCAATATCATCAAAGGCAATGCCAATGCCAGGGGTCTGGGCTGCCCCTGGGGCCATGTTGGTATCTGAGGTCCCAGTTGCTATGGGGGCTATGATCTGTGCTGACACCTGGGGCCATGGTAACATACAAGCCCGGTCTGTTACCAAGGACAATGTCTGGTTCCATGGTCCTACCACAGCCAGTTCCTGTGTTGATGTCCATAGCCCATAGTACCATCAAAGGCCACACAGATGCTCTGGGTCTGGGTCACAACCTGTGGCCATATTCGTATCTGAGGACCATGCCCCAACTGGGGCAAAGACAATTTGGTTGGCCTGTGCTGACACAGTGGGCCATGACGTCATGCATGTTGAAGGGTGAGCAGTGGATACGGAGGGGCTGAGAAGTAAGCAGGATTGTGGTACATCATGTGAAATTCCCAAAGAGTTAATAAAAAATTATGTTAAAAATAAATAAGTGAATAAATAATTATCTTCAGTATTATCGTCTGATGGGGAATGTACTGTATATATGTTTATCTTATTGATTGTTAAATAAAATGCTGTTTGGCCAATGAAACGGCAAGTTAGGCAGGACTAGGAGTCAAAGAGGATTCTGGGAAATGTAGTAGAGAAGTGAGGATCCAGGCAGGAAGTGACATAGCAAGGAGACTCATATTTAAGTGAAGGAGAAACAGGAAGGGATCTCTTTTCCCCTCCGCTCATGCACCAGTGGCACGATGTGACCCACCAGCCAGGAGGGACGCCAACAAGGCGTCCGATAAGTCTTATAAAATATATAGATTTATGATAATTAAGACTGAGCTAACAAATGAGAATCCTAGTCATTGGCCAAGCAGCTTTGAACCTAATACAAGTTCCTGTGTATTCATTTGGGCCTAACTCGGGCAGGCGGTTGGCATAAAGCGCACATGTGGCAATGAGGCTCAGCGGCTTTTGGCGGAAAGATTTATCGTAACAATCGTATTGTTCACTATTGATTATGGTGAACTTACACACTTTTATTCATTTTAGTTTGCTTTTCAGAATTTGATAGGAATAAGTGGAAAAAGGTCTCATCACTTTTAATTTTTAATTGACTTTCAGATAATTATTGCTGTTTTGAGGTATTTGTACAGTAGACAGTAAAAACACTAATTACCAAAGAACCATATAAAAGAAACATAATATTCATTAATTGAAAAACTGATCCCAGCTTCCCACATTTTCAAAGACCTCTGAAAGTAACACACTCTGATACTGTGGGTTCTTCCAGGACATTTCCTATGCACTTATGTTAATTTAATTGTGCAAAATAATGTGATAGCCCATATATTATTTTCCAACCTTTTGTAATTAATATAATTAATTTAGTGTTATCTCACCACTCCCATTATTCATAAAGGTTTACCAAATTAATCCAATAATTTTCTAATGCAAAGAAAATCACGGTATAGGTCACAAACTGCACCCTCAGAGAATAAGCTCCTTGCTTGATTTTTAACAACTTAGCCTTTATCATCAGTTTCCAGGTTCCAAAAGTCATTGCAGTTGCCATGATGACTAGTTGCAAGCTGAAGAGGTGGTACTTACAAAACTGTTACAATTTTGTATCTGTCTTCTGTGTGTTTCCTTGTGAGGTACCTGATGGGGGAGGTCCTTCTGTGTATATGTTTAACTTATTGGTTGATAAATAAAGTACTGTTGGCCAATAGGAAAGCAAGATAGGAGTGGAGGAGAATTCTGGGAAATGTAATAAAAATAATATTCATTATTGTGATACAGGCAGGAAGTGACATAGCAGGCAGACTCATATATAAGCAGGAACAAACAGGAAGTTGTCCTCTTTTTCTCTTGCTCTTCCTCCTGGTGTCTGCTCTGGAGTCACCCTGTGACCCACCAACAAGAGAGGGCACCAACGGAAGGTGTCCTCAATACGTCTTATAAAATATATAGATATATGATAATTAAGACTGAGCTAGCAAGTAAGAAATCCTAGGGATTGGCCAGCTGAATTTGTACCTAATATAAGTCTCTGTGTATTACTTGGGACCTTAACGTGGTGGTGGGAGGAACTCGGGGGGCCTGGCGGAAAGAGCACACATAGCGACAGGGCTCCTGTGGCTTTGGAGTAAAGACTTATTGTTACAGGTACCCATATCAAGTTAAGACAGTTTTAACTTTGAAATGGTTTTATTTAATAAGATCAACTGACCTCTACAAAAAATAAATGCTTATTTCCTGATTTAGTTCAATTCAATGTCATTCAACAAATATTTATTGGATACTTAATATGTACTTAACTTGGGATTGGGCCATTATTGTAA